AATCAGTAAGATTTCAGGTAATAACAACCTTTCAAGTCAGTTATGTCAGATATTTTGTCAGTTATGCCATTTTAGGTATGACTTTCAGAAGTCAAGATCAGCTAATTACTTTGTACTTGCGGGACCAGTTGATACTGGAGCAGCCCTATACAGTACAGAGTTCACGTTCACGATTTACAGTTTATGTCCATGCTATAAGGTCGACGTATAATAGTTGTTCAACCGGGTAAAAGGTAGCGGTCTGATATACAGACCATTAGTCCAGATTTACCTGGAAACTTGAAGTCGTACCTTATCAAGTCAAGTAAGTCAGTAAATATCATGTTTTCAGTCCCGAAGCGATTATTTAAGTTGTCTCGGGATAGTTTTCAGAACTCGAACATAGATGATTCAGCCATGTAAGAGTCAAGTCATGGTTTTTCAGCCAAGAGAATATTCAGGTCAGTCATGACAAGATCAAGGATAGTCTGTCTGGTAAGATAAGACTTATCCACCATTTTCAGTATGTCAGCGCCCTGATTCTCAAATTCAGAAGAATCTGAGAAATCGTGGGAAATATTAGGTCAGAAGGGACTTCTTCTTGAGGTTAAGTGTAACCTCGGAGGGAGTAAAAAGTTGCAGGTACCACAGGTTGACATTCTCCGCGATGGAGAAGAGCCAATCGACAACAACAGATCGTGCCAGGATGGTAAACCGACGCTTCCCAGTCAAGGATGCCATGTCTGCGTCTCAGTTCACGGGAGATTACGGAGAGAGTGTTCACCACCAGCATTCCGATCGGACATCCGCCAGCAGCCATAAGAGGACGACCAACATATTTCAGAGTTTCGCTGTGAAACCATGTCTTATCAGTGGAACACTTTCTTTTAGAAAGTGTCCATTTTCAGTCAGCAGCATTCTGCAATTCACTTAATTGTGAATTGATGTATTTCAGCTCAAATCAAGTCTTTTATTCAGTATTAAATTACTGGATTCTTAAGTCATGCAATCAGTAAGTATAAGCTTTAAGTTAAGCTTGTACATTCCAGTTTTACTGTTCCGAGGAGCTCTTGAAGAGGTTAACTTGAGCATCAGCGTTGATTATTCCCGATCCTTCTCGGAGTTTCACTATCTTCAGCGATGCTTCGAGATAGGGCTTGGGATGTGTCCTGATGCAGGACAGACGGGTCGTTGCGTATGCTTCACGTCAGCTTAAGCCTCATGAGCAGAACTATCCTACGCACGACTTAGAGCTAGCCGCAGTCGTTCACGCCCTGAAGATTTGGCGTCACTATCTTTACGGCGGACGTTGCGAGATATTTACCGACCATAAGATCCTACAGTACATTATCACGCAGAAGGAGCTTAATATAAGGCAGCGCCGTTGGCTCGAATTGGTCAAAGAGTATGATTGTTCTATCAGATACCATCCGGGGAAGGCGAACGTCGTCGCAGATGCCCTAAGCCGAAAGGTGACGGGAGACTTGACGTACGTCATCACACAGCAGAGTATATTGATCCATGAGTTTGCCCGGATGCAGCTTCAGGCGATTGATGTACTCCCCA